AATAATGTTGCCTCGAAACGAAGAAGCCAAAATTATCAAAGCAAGAAGTTTAAAGATTCATATTCTTCAGAATTTCCATGCATTAAAGCATCCGAAATTTCTGTGAATCACGCACACTGCAGTGTATGCAACAAAGACTTCTCAGTTGCTCATGGCGGAAAAAGATGACTGTAAACGGCACATGTTTTTCTCAAAAGCATATAGAACTTGGCACCGTAAAATCTAAAGAAATAACAAATTTCTTAATAAAAGATGATGAAACAGATCCTATAAAAGCCGAATGCTATTTTGTTCGTTTTTTAATTGAACATAATCTACCGCTTTCTGTTTCGGATCATTCCAAAGAGCTTTTCAAAGCAATGTTTCCGGATTCTGCCAAAGCAAAAAAATTTAGCTGCGGTCATACCAAAACTGCTGCTATTGTGAAAACGCTTGCAGAAAATACTGTTGCTGATATTATAAAATCAGTGTGCAGTACATCATTTTCTCTAAGTACTGATGGAAGTAATGATAACAATGATAACAAACTGTACCCATTGGTTATAACATACTACAGTAAAGAAAAGGGAGTGATAATTACTTCATTGATTTCTATTTTAGAATGCACGAATAATACAGGAGAAGGTATTTTTTAATTGTATAAATGAAAACTTTAAAAACAAAGGTTTAGAATGGAAAATTGCTTATCATTTTCTTCAGATAATGCTAGTAATATGATTGGAAAGTTTAAAGGTGTAGGCATCATTTATCAAAATGCATCAACCAAGTATAATCACCCGAGGTTGTCCGTGCCACCTCTTGCATATAGCTGCAAAAAAAGTTTACTGAAAAATTAATTGGCTCAGAAATTGAAATGTTGATAATAGATATATATTTTTACTGGAGAGAAAAGTTCGAAATGGAAGCATAGCTTCAAAGTTGCTCAACAAATTTTGGGACAGAATGCAAAAATCTCATAAAATTTTGAAATATTGCAGTACGAGATGGTTGTCTCTTTTAGAATCTATAACAAGGATTTTGGAACAGTGGGATGCTGTGATAAATTTTTTGGAGATAAACCAGATAACAGTGAGAATGAAGGAAAGAGATTGCAAAACATTAAAAAAATTTTACAGTCACCGACCACCAAATTGTACTTGTTATTTTTGAAAAATACTTTACCTTTGTTTATAACAGTAATATTAATTTGCAACAACAAGCTCCCTTATATACATAAATTGAGAAGAGAACTTTTTTGAACTTTTAATGAATTTATTTGTTAGATTCGTAAAACCATCAGTAATTTCTAAGGAAAATGAAGAATGTTTACTCTAACAGTCTATTCCATTTCAGAAGTATAGTAAACACAAAAGAAAATGAAAATTTAGTGATTGGTGCGGAAAAAAAGACTATATTTAAAAAATGCCAAGTTTGAAATGAAAGTGGAAGTGAAATCATTTTTCAAGTTCTGTGCGAGCTTTCTTGTAACTGCATGCTCATCATATATAATTGATAAAATTTCCACTGAAGTGAATCCATTTCTAAAACATGCTGAAGTTGCTGACATCAACTTGAGAACTGAAGTCTCATTTTCATCTGTTCTTTACTTGATGAAATACTTTTTCCATCCATTATTGATGAAAAATGTCTTAATCAAGTAGTAAATTGAATTTTCCATGTATCAAGTAGGTGATTTGAAAGAAATTGTAGATTTGCGTATTGATATGGCATGGGGAGAAATTGCCAAATTAAAAAATATGAATGGGTGTATTAAATACAAGGTATTGCCTTCTGTAATGCTTGCTGTCTTAATAATACCTCATTCAAATGCAGCTTGCGAAAGAATTTTTTCTATTGTTAAAAAAAATCAGACGGAATTTCGACCAAATTTAGATCTTAAAACTCTTGAAGCAGTTTTGATTGAAAAAATAAATATGCAGGCAAATGAAGAACTGTGTTATAAAAAAACATTCTCAAAATCAGAACTTAAGCTTGCTAAGCATGTTACATATAAATCTTTGCATTCATAAATTATGCGTATTTTGTTTAATACTTATATGTATCATTCTTGGTTATTTAAATTTTATTTCCCTGTAGAAATCATATCCAGAATAAAGATATGATTTATAGCTTCTGATTTTTTCTATGATTAGTAGTGATTTGAAGTACTTTTTATTAGTGAATGCTTGAGGAGTTAAAAGAAAATTTCTAATTAAATGTGCATATAATTTTACAAGGTATATTTTTAATTATTCAGTTTTATATGTATATGGATTTAAATGTAATAAAATTGATTACAATTAATTATTAATTTAAAATTAATGAATGGTTAATTACAACATACGCTACGCGCACATTTTCAAAGTTGTAAAAATGTCGTTCGCGCGTTGACTACTGACAAGGTTTGCTGAAGGTTGGAGTCTATGCATGTGCACAGGCGCGAACAGAAAGATTTCAAAAATTCATTACAAATATGTATGGCGAACAAAGGTAATCTTTAAAACCAAATATTTCATACACTTTTAGGTCATATAAAATCCTAAATGGCAATTATAGGTCCTTTTCTTTAACCTATAACATCCAGATAATTTTTTCACTCTTTATAAATCAATGCATACAAATATTGGTACTTTCTCGTTAAAGTCATACCTTCAACAAGGAAGCATTTTCAAATTTCATGCCAAAATTCTTAAAAAGTCTGGTACTTGTCTTCTGTAATTACCTTGATGAGAGAAAACAGCGTTGGAGCAATTCAGGCTTAAGAGGTGTGCCTCGGTTCTAAATGTTATAAACATGAGCTATTCTTTTGATATTTATATAATCAAGTAATTTAATATGTATATAAAAGAAATTTAATATAAATATATAGTATTTAATACAATTTTAGCAGTTGATATAAAATAACATTATTCAACAGAAATTATTTAGTATACACAGTAATTTTTGGATTTAACACAACTATATAAGTAATATATTTAAAATAACAGATATACTGCCAGAAAATTCTATTTATTATTAAACATACCAGAAAATTCTGTTTATTATTTTATTTAAAGTAACTTATTTATTAATTCATTTCAGTTTTTCAAATTGAGGTGCATTTTCTTCTCATTTTTTCCCTCCTGATACTGTGATATAAGTAGATTTTTAAATCTGATCACACTGCTTGGTTCTATCATGTATTGTGGCATTTTTCTTTCAGTGCAATTCTATTTTTCTTTCAGTGCAGTGCTAATTTCTTTCTCCAGTGAGAATCCAAAAGTTATTTTTATCGTATTATGCTCTTTTATTTAAAAAAATGGAAAAATAGTCACTCTGGTCATGAAATTCTCACTGTATTTGCTAAAAGTGCTCTTTCTGATGATACAATTTGAAAGTATGTTGGTAAGTGCGGAAATTTCAATCTCGAACATGATGTCCACTCTGAATGACCATTCTCTGTAAACGAGGACATATAAAAATATGCTGTTACTGAAAATCAAAGTTATATTGTTCAGAAACTATCAGAGTAAATATTATTAAAAGTACAGTACTTGATCATTTGAAGAAGATTGGTTATGTAAGCTTCTGCAGTGTATTGATATCTTGTATTTTAACTGAGCAGAATGTGCTTGCTCAAGTTTTGACATGCAATTCTTTGCTTAAAGGAAGGAAAGAAGTTTCTATTTTGAAACAGCTCATTGCTCGAGGTAAGAAGTAGATACTGTATCATAACTTAGAAATCATAGCGTAAGCCCAAAGAACCTATGTAGTATCACTGAGAGGGAGGACAGCATCCCAAAAAGGATGTTTTGTATATGGTCGAACTGCAAACAGATTGTGTACTGTGAATTGTTGCCTCTAAATCAGACAAAGTGCATAGAACTGACCAGTCTTGGAAGTGTTGTCTTTAATCCTTACTTTGTTCAGCGTAGCATTTCAGTGAATGTCTGGCAAAAACTTGCAGAGTATACCTAAGGTGTTTTGTGCTACTCCTCACATTCACTGTATATAATACACACATAATACACACATATATGCATATATATGACATGCACATGTCATATATACATTTCTGAATTCGGTGTTGATAACAGAAGAGTGCCAATATTTTATGTGAAAGTTGCTGTATTGATACAATGCAAGTATGAAAAAGCGGATTATGCAGATCAGTAACTATTGCAGATTAAATACCAATGCAGAAATGTGCCAAATCCACTATATTGCCAAGAAGACAAACATCAGAAATCTATTGTGGGAAAGAAATGTGGTTATTTTTTTTTTCTTTTTTGTGTATGAACTTTCTTCATTTTTCGTAATTTTATTGCTTCCATCTATTTTTATCATTGGGATCACAAGGAATTGGCATATACCTTTCTTGCATCATTGTTCCAATCAGTCATTGTTGCAGTTCATTTGAAGGATGCTTTGGTTCATAAAAGCTGATATGCATTAACTTTGAAAACGACAATTAATCATTAGTAATAAAAGAAATACTGATATTTTTTTTTTTTTTTTTTTTTTTTTTTTTTTTTTTTTTTTTTTTTTTTTTTTTTTTTTTTTTTTTTGGTCAGGTACCTTTTTCTTCCAGGTGGAACAAAAGTTGCATATGTTTGTAGTCCAACCCCTTCAGCTTAGAGTTGATTTTGATTTCATAAGATGGTTATTTGAATATGATATTTCTTCGTGAATAATCTTTTAAAGCAACAGGGTAGCCATTTGTTTATCTTTTGACATATCCCAAGTTGTGAATTCACTGCACTGAAAAAAAAAAAAAAAAAAAAAAAGTGCGAGCAATAGTTATAAAGATGATTATCATCAGAAAAGAATCTGAACCAGACTGGCAATCTGAAGCTGACAAACAAACAAAAAGCTTTAATGGAAAAGTGTCAAGTAGTATGCAGATTTGTAAAACTATCAAAGTGGTAACGTGTTGATAAATTTGTTAATAATTTAAGTTCTGCTTTACTGTTATTGGTATGTATGAAATTGAGTGTAAAATATTATATTATCCGCATTGAGAAAAAGATTCTTATTTCTAGCGTTTGTCATTTGTTGATGTTGCAACTGGATCATTAGGTCAAGGATTGAGTTGTGCAGCTGGTATGGCTTATGTAGGAAAATATATTGATAAAGCTAGGTAAGTTAATCAAACTATTTGGATTAAAAATTTTTCCTTCGTGTAGAATTTTTATAAGAATTAAAAGTGTTTGATTTAATGTCTCATTCATATTTTTAACGATTATTCATATTTTTTTAAATAAATAAAGCTTTTTGATAATTATTGGTGAGTTTAGACATAATATAAAATTGTTACGCTAGCCAGTGGACAAATGGCTAAAGTTGCATAAGATTAGTAATTTATCCTGAAATTCTTGGCAGTTAAGCTGCTGTGCGAGATTTTTGCCCAGGACTATTAATTTCGTTTTGGCATTTTGCGTCGATTCATATAAACATTGTTTCACTTTTCAAATTGTTGTCACCAAATATTATTGCCCTGTATTATATTTAAAGAAATTAAATAATGAAGCATATCCATGAATGTATGTACGTTTCTTGCATTGTGATAAAACAATGGTACCTAGAGCACCTTAATTTGAATGACGTAATCTTCCATAGAATATGGCCATGTGAAAGCCCTAATTTGAATTTGAAATTTGTTTTATTATCAATTTCATATTTTGTAACACTTCAAGGAGTTTTTGATTAACAAACTCAACGATTTCAAAGCGAGCAATGGCAACTCTGTACGGGATTTAAAAAAAAAAAAAAAAAAATTCACCAGCGCGCAAGACTCCGTATCGGAAATTCTAAAGATATACTCATTTTAAGATTATTTTGTGATATTGCTGTTGAACTGAATTTTATATTTTGTATACGTAGAACATGGTGTTTAATAAGTAAAGGTAATACATAAAACATTAAAAAAAAGACCTTTTGGGCATAATTTAAAATCTGAAACCCTTCAGATTGTATTTCTTTTTTTATTTATTTACCTTTTCCTAAGGATGTTTTCCAAGAAGGCATTTTCTGTTATACGTAAGATAGACTTATTGTGCTTTACTGTAGATTAAGATTGAATTATCTGATTTAATACCATAATTTTCAGCAGTCCCAGATTATTGAATTTAAAATCAGGGTTTGTACAATCCTTAAGAGTCCTTAGAGGAATATTTTTGTGATTCACTGAAAAATATGGTTTTCTCTTGAATGGGTTCATGGGTTATAAATTGTTCCTGTTTCTAACAGTGAGATATTCTAGTTCCTGGGCAAGAAGTGAAACATTAGCATTTCAAAATTATTTCATTTTTTTCCTAATGAAGAGCTCATAAATAACTTATTGTTTGGGGGGATGTGAATTCTTTTATTAAAAGATTCTAAATTTGGTGACTTATCAACATTTTGGCAATTTTAAGATCAGTTTCTATAGAACATTTTAATTCAGAGATCTGTGAATTTTTCGACGAATTATTTAAAGAAACATCATAACATTGATAAATTTTATTAAAATAGTGGTAATATATTGAAATTATATTTAAGAAATAACATTAAAATAAAACACTTTTATTTTTGCTGTGATATTTTAAAGTGATATTAATTTTGATTTTGCTGACTTATTCAATATTTTGAATCTGAAAAATAAATAAGATAATAAATGCTATTAAGCACAATCTAAACAGTTGTTAACAAAAGCAAAATAGCTATGTAATTAATTGAAATTGTCTTTTAATTTTTTCAAGATAAGAGTTTTTCTCGCATAATTGTCTGAGTATGCACAGTTTTCCCTATAAAGTTAATTTTACACTCCCCCCTCTCTGATTTTTTTAAAAGTATTTTTGTCTTTTTACTACAACAGAATTGGTAGCGGTAATTTTTTTGTATGATTTTAGACATTACAACTTGGAAACTTTAGAAGGATTTGAAGGCAAGATTTATAGACCCACTGTTGCATCAAGTTCATCTAGTTACAAGAAAAGTGTAATGTAAAATTCTTTACCTGAATGCATCTTCAGGGTTCGAGATACCAGGCTTCTAATAAACATGCTTCCCAGTAAGAGTTTCTATTAGATTAAGATGCCATTTTGTCTTTTACAAATTTATTCAAAGGAACACTAATATACACTATTTACAAAGTAGGTGACAATCACTTCAAGCTAGCACATTTCAGTTGTTTTTCCGAGGCAGAAGTTTTGTCTTTATGGTCCTCAGAGAGTTTGAATCTAGTCTCGTTCTCAGATCTCGATTAGAGAACAAAAAAGGGAAGAATGCCCACCATCTAATGACAAGAACGGAAATTCCACAATTCTAGAAGATTCCAGAAAAATGTGACAAAATGAAAAATGTCATCAGGTATTAACCACTAATGGATGTATTTTACAGAAAGTTTGTGATGAATTTCTTATTTTTTGGAAGAACTATGAAAACATAATATTTGAATGTTTCATTTCTGATTCTAGAAGCCTTTTTTGTAATGTGCTTATCCTCCTTTTTTCTCTACTTTTCACTAGAAACAGCCATGGAAAATATCAAAAATGTTTCTAATCTTATCACATGGACAAGCACTTATAGGAAAGAAATTTCTAGTATTAAAGAAATTGAAAACTGATCATCTAAAAGATTTATCTTATATGACTCAATGTGTCATACAGGGTTGGCACTAGGCATTTTCCTACCTGATGCTATCTCTGTGGATCCTGAATTCTGCCTTCTTAAATCTTGCTTCCAGTGCCTTTCTTAAATTCCAAATTACTATTTCTAGACTGTGTTCTTCGGTGTGTCACTAAATTCTAAAAGTTCTCCAACACCGGCTCTGTAACTGGCCTTTATTACCCTGTATCATTTCATATTTATTCTAAATGTTCATATTACTAAAGAAATAAAATTAGCAACTTTTGTATACAAAATGCTTTTAGTTTTTCAGAATAGCAGAAATATTTAATTAAATGCAAAAATTCTAAAATGAAGAGAAAACATTGCAGAAAGAAACTGAATACATAAAGAGGAGGAAAATTATACTTCAAAGATATGTACAGTTATTATTATGTAAATATTGTTATATATGTATATTATATATTTTATTATGTATGTTGGTCCAAAAAGGACCAAAAATGCATTGGCTATGTAATAAGGGACATAAGGATTCATATTTTTCTGTAATGCTATTATTTCAAATAATTTTTTAAATAGGTTTGAGGATGATAATGTGTGTACAACTTTTAGTATATTTCAGTGAACAATTTGTTTTAGTTCCATATTTCATAAGAAGTTATATTTGATAATCTAGTAATAAGTATTTAACCAAGTACAGTCAAAAGTTGTATACCCATAATCTGGAATGATCTATAATCCAGACCTCAAAGCTACAAAATTTCTGCGCATGCGTCGTAAGACCTTTACCGCTGCGAATTGCGTGTGCGCGTGCGCAAAATACGTTTACGAATGCGCGTTTAATGTATAACAGACGGGATAAGCTAAGTTAAAATTATCTAATTATCTATTTCAGTTAATGTTGCAGATTGCGTTGTTCCTTAATCTTCGAATTGGATCCGGATTATTATTTTTTGCAGACTGTTAGAGCAATTTTATAAAAGTAAGCTTGAACTTTCGATTATGTCAAATAGAATTTCCCATATATATTTACTAATATGTAAAGGATATACAAAGCGAAAGTATCTTTCGGAGTCCAGTAAACAAAAAGTGGAATTGCTGCAAAAAATGGATAAAGGCATATCCTTTGTTTATCTAAACTTTAATGTTTGTTTATCTTTAATGCCCCGGCCGCGTGCAATGAATTGGAAGTTGATCTGTCAGCACTATCCTTATCTTAAAGGGCAGATGTTTTTATTTTATTTGGCTTATAATTCCTTACTCAATGTAGTATTTCATCTCGATGTACTCCGTCTTTAATATGATTTAAATCAAATGCCTCGTCATTATAATTCGCTTCCGATAGCGAAGAAAGTGACAGAGGTTATTGAAAACGAAAAAAATTCGATTGACAAATTAGTCGGTATTCTCGACACAGCAATTATAGGACTTGAACAGCGGAACTTTGTAACTGAAAAGAAGAAATTATATCTGTTTATAGAATTAAAGAGAATGTATTATCACATAAAAAAACGAAGCAACTTAAGCAACTTACATTGAAAAGAAATGTTTAATAAAGTAAACAAATAAATATTAAGCTTTTTTTTTTGTAAATTTTGATACCCTTTAGATCATAATTGTTCTTTATTTCGTAAATTACAGTTTCATATTTTTAATTTTATAATTTCTGCATGCCATTTTACCAGATTTAAACTGATGATCTATAATCCGGAAAAATCGATAATCCGGAATCGCCGAAGTCCCGACGAGTCCGGATTAACGACTTTTGACCTAATACAGTTGAAAAATGTCTTTCCTTGCAGTTTAATATTATGCTTGAAATTATTATTACATATATATATATATGATTATATTATTCATTGTATTATATGTACACAGCATCGAGGTTTGCCGATTTCGCCTAGTGCAAAGATTTCCGGTGTTAGAATCACTGTTGCTGTAAAATTTCAACAGCTTTTCTTTATTTTTCCGTATATCGTACACAGTTGTGTCGCAATTCCATATGATTCTGCTATAAACCAAGGAGTGGAACCTGCCTCCATCTTCTGCAGAATTTGCACGTTTTGTGTTACCATCAATGCAACGTCTTTACGTTTTTCAACGTTGCAAGCAGTAAAATCATGAGTGCGTTTCTTATGTCATTGTATTAAAAAGGGCTGAAATTTAATATGCTCTTAATGTATCCACAAAATATCCAGATAAAGAAAAAGGCAGCACTAAATAATCTCGTGAAATAACAAAGCTCAGAAAATATGACAACATGAATCGTGAACTTGAAAGAAGAGTTGAGTGAATCATCTGCTCTTTTTTACCTCGATTCAGATTAGAGGGGAAAAAACTTTTATCATGTGATGTCAATAATTTGTTATTTCCGTTCTGACTCGTTATTATTCGGTAATTATGTTTTTCTTCGATATTTCGTAATCAATGTTGCGGTTTCTGGAACCTATAAACTGATTTTTTATATTTTGAGAGGCAACGCAAATTTCAGGAGTTGGTGGATTTCAGGTCGGCGTATTTTCAGTATTTGACTGTAGTCACATTAATATGCCATGTAATAAGCATAAATTGATTTTATTCTTAAATGAAACAAATTAATATATGAAAGGAAGTTATTTAAATTTTAAGATTCATGTAGCTTTTAAGTTTCCTTGAGATGTTATGAAATTGAAAAGAATTGTATATTATCTGCCGTTCTGAAAATATATTTATTTAGAAAAGGGGAGTGAAATATATAATTGTGTTTACTGCACCATGAAAGAGGTGTATTGTTTTAATTTAAAATGTAAAATTTTGTTCTGGCCCCCAAAAAAGGGAGTTCATTGACAAGACCTCACTTCAGAAATAGAAAGAATGAAAAGATGAAAACATTTGTCATCCTTATGCCTTGGCAAGTGTTGCCTCTGCACGAAATTTAAGACCTCTTATTTCTTTCTGTTAAAACATCTTCATGCAAAGTCTTGAGTGTTGCCATTTAGTTAAATCTGAGACTTTCAATGTATCTTCCAAATTTAATCAATCTCTTTTTTACAAATTACATGGTTTAAAACAAAAAGAGTGCTCTTTGGTAACTTAAATCTTCAGCTAACTTTTTTAATAACACAATGGATATAAATTAAATATTTTAACCAATGATTTTTATGAACATCTACAGCACTGTTATAATTAGTGTTTTCACTATTAAATGAATAATGTAAAATCATTTTTAAAATTTTTATGGTGGCTGGTTTGCATTTAAAATTTTTAATGATAGATTCTTCAGAGTATTGAACTGTAATGTTAAATTTTCAAATTGAAATATTTTTAATCAAAATACATTCTAGCTTCCGTGTTTATTGCCTCATTGGTGATGGTGAATCTGCAGAAGGTTCAGTCTGGGAAGCTCTTTCATTTGCTGGGTATTATAAGTTGGATAACCTTGTGGCCATATTTGATATTAACCGTCTGGGGCAGAGTGAACCAACAATGTTTCAGCATCAGATGGAAGTATACCAAAAAAGATTAGAAGCTTTTGGGTGAGTTTTTTTTTTTTATGTAATATATATCTTAGATATAAGAATTTCAAAGTCCATTCTTCATAGGTATTGTATAAGATAAAAAGTTTGTAAACATATATGGTATAAGTATTGGAAGAAATGAATTTAAATCACAAGCGTTAAAAAGACATTCTGCAGAAGATTGACTAAACATTTTTATTAAAGATGCTTCCCCCCCCCTAAGATAAAGCAGCTTCCCACTTTTTAGGCTATGTTATTAGACATACCAAAATATGAAGTTCAGAATTCCATGTGTGCACGTGGAAAATATTCTTGATCCTTGCAAAACTGAATGATCGGTGGGCTTTGACTTGTGATGCAGTCATAAGCCCATTCTTTTTCAAGAAGCAAAAAATAACAGGAAGATTCTTAAACATAGTGAAGAATTTAAGTTTATTAATTATATTATTTATTTCAATTAATTACATCTGAGGTGATATTGAAACTGAATGAGGCATCGTCACATTGCAGCTGACAATCATATGTAGCTGATTGCAGCTGACAATCATATGCAACATCTTAAAAAGCAGCATAAGATTGGATGTAATAGGCCAATTCTCTGGCCACTTTGCTTGCATGTGATTGGCCAATTCTCTGGCCACTTTGCTTACCAGATGTTATCTCCAAGAACTTCTTTCTTTGAAAATATGTTGAACACAAGGTACATTCTGGCCGAAAGTATGTATTATGTATGCAAATTCAAATACTGTTGCTTATGTAACTCTTCAAATGCTGCAGAACATGTAGAATGAAACTCGAGTAGACATTCTCCCTGTGTCAGACAAAACTCCTGTAGAATTACACTGAACTGTAATTGCTTCAAAGAAAACTTGGTAGGTTTGCTTTCAAAGAGCACTTTTTGTGTGTTCATGTTTAGTATCCTTAAAATAACTTCTAGAGACTTATCTTCTAACCACTACAAACATTGTGTATCCTAAAAATAGGGTATGCATTCTTATGGGCTTACTCCTCCATTCCTTTTCCCCCAGTAATTTGAAAATAGTGTAAATGGTAGTGCATGTTTTTTGAGTATTCAAATTCATTTTTTAATCTTAATTGTCCAGTTTAGCTTAAAATTATAATTATTCTGCATATGCTTATATATATATATTTCTTTAAAATATTTATATGAAACTTATGTATGCATAAAAGTATAAATAAGTACAAGTAATTTGTAAATAAAGTCAACTGAAATAGGGGATTCGTTAACCGATTCTTGGTCAGCCTCGCATATCATACATTTGGCTGTTTTGTGCCTGTGTGGTCGGCATGTGACAAAGAGTGAAATTACATCATTGAAAGTGAATTCATTGCTATTTACATGTCTCATTATATTCTACCATTAGTTTTTGTACTTCTGAATACTGCTAAAAGTAGGCTTTCATCACATTTTTTTACAGCGAGATTTCCCGCCTTGAATGGGGCCTCTTTGCATTCCTGAAACAACTGTGACTTAATTCTGGACATGTTGGAAAATTGATAATTGACTCTATTGATTACCAGGGATAGTAATTACACTGTGCAGCTAGCCTTAGCCTTTCTCCCATTTCCATAGGAATATTCAAATCCTTTTTAGTTGTCTCCACCAGCAGTTTTGTAGATCACATCTCCTTGTTTACAGGATTGTGTACCATGCAGTTTCTTTCTTTGGGAATTTGTACTGCCGTTACTCATTTTAATTTAAGAAATATGTGATTGGATAGTGCAGGCACTGCAAGCCATTTTTTGTTGCCTGATTGGGATAAATTTGATTATTGCAGGAATGTGTATCATGTAACCCATAAGTAAGTAGAGTGTGCATTAAAGGATTGTAATTAATGTACAAGAAAGTTGGACATCGGTGTTGCTGATGGTGTATATTGTCTCCTTAATGTGAGAAAATTTACATTAGCTTATTGTGTCATTTTTTTGCTTGGTTAGTAGCAATATTTGTGTAGTCAGAAGATTCAAATGCATGTTTAAACATTTAGTTCATCGCATACATAAGACATTTAATTTTATAATAGGTTTTTTGAATATAACAAATATTTTTAATTACATGTGATTTGCAGTTGTATTTAAGAAAGCCTGTAGGGATGCTTATTAGCCAAATGAACAAATAGAAAATCAGGTAGTAGCTACGGTATTGTAAGTCCAAATTCAGGAAATTGAAGCATACCGTAAGATGTTAAAATTTTGAATTCCTGCTCTTGTAGTGCTTGAGAGTTTGAGAAGTACCCTGGCAAGGAGATAAAGGCACAGATGAAATGGGATACACTGATATTATAAAGTCTCGGAATAAATTCCCAGCAGTCACTTAATGCTGTGTTTATTTCATTAGGGAACCGAGAATTGAAACAAATAAGGAGTAAGAGTTTTTTGTTGCCCTTCTTTTATCAGGACTGGATTCAGGATGTATGTGTGGATATATGTACTCACGTATGTATGTGTGGATATACACATGCATATACATGCGTACATTTCTGAATCTGTCCTCGATAACGGAAGAGCACAAAGTTTTTTTATTTAAAAATCTAGAGTTATCTTTACATCTGAGGAAGAGAAATAAGAGAGTAATGTCTGTGATGTCATGGGTGCTTAGAGTGGTATGTTTCCAAATACTTCTTTCATTAAATTGTTACATTATTAGGAGAAAAATGGCTGTTTTCAGGCTCCACAAAGTCCTTCATTGGGAGTTTAAAGGGCTATTGCTTATTTGTTTTGCACTAACTTGTTTTAATTTTGTCTGAAGATTTTATGTCTGGTCTTTCTAAACTTTAATCTCGGAAGGAAATAACACCCTCTTAGTGGAAAAAAGAGTTAGCTAGAGAATGGCTGTACTTTTCCGTTTCACTGACGCAAATTTCGCCAAGCAGATTTTATTGGCGACAACATATAGTATACACATAAAAAATGTTAACAAATGTTAGTTCTGAGAATTTTTTTATTTTGAAGGCATAACATTTTAATATCGTTTAAAATTTTGTAAAAAGCCAATAAACAAAGACAATAAATTTATGAAAAGGCATTAATTTAAGAATTTACTATGCCTTTCAGGGTTCAACATCCAGATTCGCCGGTTCATATCACATGACCCCAAGTGATCTCATCTCACGTACATTACGCTACAAAAATCTAATTCTCTCAGTAATGATCTACATTAATTTCAAGTTAAATCTCAATTCGGAATACAAGTTTAAATGCAAGAATTATTTCAATTCGTACGAGCAGCTTAATCAGAAATTATGTAAGACCGCAGTGCTTTACTTCTCTAGTGCATCTCATTAGAATGGATGAATTTAACCCTTGACTTTGCTTTATCTATATTTCCGCCTTCGGGTGAGCGGTGTGATTGCATCCTAATTGACTTAATTACCGTGAATGGCCTTAAGGCATAAAATTGAACTATGGGTAAAAATACTATGTAATTGTATGCTAGTATTATTGAAAGAAACAATCAATCTGATAGGAAATGGTTGCTACTTGTTTTTGAAAATGAGGCGTAAAAGGTTACCAATGAGGATATTCCGTTTGGCATCAGTTGTACCATTACTGGCGACTTTATCGCCTGCACCGGCAAAATGGAAAATTACAAAGAACGGCTTTCAGGCCAGATGTTCAGTAAAGAAAATTATATAATCAGTGATTTTGTTCCTGTTAATGAAGCTTTTTTAAAAATTTTGTTGTTGTTTTTCTATACAAAGTGTAAAGAAGTTGCTTAGTATGTTGTCAATAAAATAAAAGATTAATCCAGGTGTCATTAACAAGATACATGTACAAGACACGACACCAGCCAGAACTGTGTTACTTTGCTCACAGTAGTTGCCAGGATGTGAATTGAAACTGCCTCAAGCCTGATTCCAAGATAAGATTTCTTTTATTATTTAAGTAATAGAAACATTTGAAGACTGGGATATTTTTTTTATAAAATAGTTAGTGGTTGGACAAATTATATTAGAAGGTTTTGTAATTTATTTAATTAGATGATTTAGTAACAAGAAAAATGTGTAAAGAAAGGAAGATTTTGTTATAGTGGCAAAAGAGTTAGGCCAAAACATTAAAACAGATCACAAATTAATTGATTTGAAGAATTTAATGGAAAAAGTCTACAATTCAGCAAAGATTTTGTTAAAGAATTTTTAATTTCCATGGTAAATGAGTTTGTATAGAATGGGGCGGGGGGAACAAGAAAGTGAACATTCAAAGAACATTCAGGAGCAGACCAAGAAACATTGTTGGAATTGGAGATAATGGAACTAGGACTTTAAAAAACTAAATTGAAAATCACTAGAAGCAAGCGGAGGCTAGGAATTTGAACACAGATGGAAATAAACAGATTAATTCTAACTAGTTATAAAACTTAACAAAGAGTGTTAACCCAGGCACTACCTCCCTTGAAAGTGCAATGGAAATGAAACGGGTAAAGGAAAAGTTATTAGTAGAAAGTTTACTGAATTTGTTAAGTGAATAGGCAGCAAATTTCCAGATTTATATAAATTCAGAAGAAGTGAAAAACTACCAGAATGTTAAAATGAGGGTCTGAAAGGAATTTTAGCTAATCCTGGAACCTTGTTTAGAGAATTTTCTTTTGGCAAGGAGGTTTCAGTTCGCAGTATAATCAGTAGTTATACTTCAAACTACTAAAAACATTAAATACACCGCAATGCAAAGTGCATCTAAAGAGAAAGCTAAATCTGATATCGCAGTTCATGCGGAACTAAACTCTCAACAACAGTAAGCAAGCAACTGAACACAGACTCTCTGTAAATCCTTTTATAGGTTTCAACTGGTCGCAGGAAATTTCTGGTACTTGAGATTTCTGGGTGGTAATAAGAGGATGGAATTACGGTTACAGCTAACATAGTGGCCAATTACATTTATTCAATTTCAATACAAATTACCAAGATATCCGTTTACTCGCTGTTAAATGCATGTGCCCCTATATTCTTACTTTTCCAGCATAGCCTTTAGGCCCACCAGCGGCCGAGCGATAAAGTTGCTGAACACTGTTAGTTCGGTCCGAGCTTCGAATCCCGCAAACGGGCTGGCTGCATGGACGTTTATGTGGTTTTCCCCATGTGTAACGCTTATACGAGCCAGTTTCCCTTAGAAAGTCCTCCACGGAGGCATCCCTCCCCTTAGGCAGATAGCTCTAGTGTGCCTTGCCATAATTATATAAACCAAACCAAACCGGCATAGCCTTCTTCTAAAATTTGTCTCGTGCTGCGTTGCATGGGGAAATACAACAATTTTAATTATAATTCTGCAAAAATTAGCCATCTAAATACAAAATTCATAACATTGTGCCCTTCCCAAAGACTGCTTATTCTGGGCAGTACGATTCCTGGACAGGAAGACATACTTACAACTAAAGCATAATAAACATTACAATACGATAACAAACAACATAAACGTTAATAAGTAATTTAAAACAAATTAAATGCTAAATCAATAAATGAGAGCACAAATTTAGAAACAAATAGGGTTGTTGTCTTATATTATTTACATTATGTACACCACGTACTATGGTAATAATAAGGAGCTAACCTGTCGTAATGAACGACTTTAGGCTTAGAATTCGGAAACTTGCAGATCCCAACAACGTCATTCAGCTTCTTTAGGATCATCCCAAGGTGACTGTAATTCCCGACAGAGTCCTTTCCGTCGAATTGAATTCCACATCCGCACATTGTCTCCTTCATTGAATCAGTGTCCTGTAACTCTCGTGTCTTACCGGGTTTTTATCTTCTCCGTGGCCAAATTCACTTGCTCTTGTGCAAAATTATGCATCACTTCAAACCAGCCGTGGAGATCTTGGATGTACTCCTCAGGCAATTAAGGCACATCCAGAGGGCGACCAAACAATAGATCACAAGGCAGACGAAGGTCATGACCAAAGAGTATCTAAGATGGAGAATAGCCAGTAGTCTCGTGGACAGCACTGCAATAAGGCAGTAAAAATAGAGGTAACTTCTTATCCCAGTGTTGTTGTTTTCTGGAAATCACCAATGAGGGGTTATTAAGGATGGTTTAATTAAACCTCCCCACCATGCCGTCTGATTGAGGATGTATAGGTATCATTTCAGTTTTGTCAAAGCCAAGTAGCACTTCGAACCTAGAAACCCAATGCTGTACCATGATCAGGAAAGGATACACTTCGGGCCACTTGGGGAAGTAATTGATGACAATGAGGATGTATTTGTAGCCGTGAGCAGTTTGTCGCAAAGGTCTTAGGATTCAGAGTTGATATGTTCAAAACGTGCTTCTACATTGTAACATTGTAGCTTGCTTTGATTGCATTTCTTTTGTCCTTTCCTATCCGCACAGGTGTGCAATATTGGCACCACTTTTGCACGTAGTCCATGGCATTACTTCAATAGAGGCACTCTTGAACTATCTGCAAAGTCTTCCATATTCTGAAGTGTCCTCCTATGTAGGTCTTTAAGGACACCTGGGATCCAGGATCTTTGAAGTATCAGCTGCCATTGGAAAGCCTTTCCATCATCCGATTCAAATGTGCGGTACAAGATGCCGTTTCGAATATGGAATGATTCCCAGAGAGCCGAATGTTGTTTTGTCGTAGGGCTATAGATTGAAATGTTCTGCCTGCTAGTTTTCTATTTGAAGACTCCATTAAGTCAGTTATAGGTTTAATATTGTCATATATTGTTGTCTTCCAGCTGGTCTTTCATGACTTCGTCGTAATTGCATGGGTCATGATCAACTGATGTTGAAGATATAACTTGTCAGACAATGGGATTCAGTAGCTTGTGTTTCTGTTCAACCCTGGAGCAATGTCGGCAGCTTTCTGTACAGGGTCTTGCAGACAAGGTGTTGGTGTTTCCAGGTGAGGATTCCTTCTGATGATGGATAGTTATGTCCTCCGAGGCTGAATGCAGTTCGTTATTTTTAAAGTCCAAGGAAAAATTATATTTCCTTAGAAAGTCCAATTCGAGTATGCAAGTATCTGTAATATCTGCCACATATGCCTTGTAATAGTAGGCAACACTTTCAAACATGATGTTTAGGTTTAACTTCCCATTTATTTTGATTTGATCACTAGATGCAGTCTGGAGGTTAACCCAGTATGGTGTCTAAATGAGTTTTTCTTTAAACTGTTGAACTAAATCTTTTTGAATGATGGTAACATTCGCTCCTGTATTGATAACCATATTGTGAGGAACTCCATTGATATGTTCCATGATGAAAAGTCCATTACTGCCACCACTTGCTGCAGAAATCTGAAGTACTTTAAACTGGGGCTCCTCATTATCTTTCAAACTTTGTTACCCGAGATGTTGATTGCTCTGTTTCTTGTGTCCTTGCTGTGGAATGGTCTTATTTTCTGTGCCTGGGATGTTCTGCAATTCCTCCATGTATGCCCTTCAACACCGCTCGCAGTTCCAGCACTTTAAGGATCGTTTCTTATCACTTCTATTCCATCTCGGGGTATTATCTTGTCTATTTAAATTATAGATCTTATTTTCCATGCCCTGGAATGTTCTGCAGTTCCTTTGTATGTGACTTTCAGCACTACAGTTCCAACAATTTAGTGTTGGTTTCATCTCGTCCCTTTTATCGTATCAAGGCAATGACTTGTCTGTTGAAATCATCTAGACTAGCAGCCACTTGATCCATTGGCTTCTGGACTTGAGCAACTCTGATTAGGTGCTGATCTCTTAGAGTTGCTTGCTGGGTCACCTTGAATTTCATGGCGTACACCAGAGTGCTTTTTAAATCCTTGATACCTGCTATTTGTAGAGCTTCCTGTATTTCAGGATCACAGATGCCGTCAATGAAGTGCTGCAGAGACAGGATTTTCCTTGTTTCTGTCGAACACTCTGAAAAGGCGAGATGAGACAGCCTTTCAACATCCATGGTGAGCTCCTGGAGCATTTCTGTGGGCTTCTGATGACAGGATTTGAATTGAAGCCTGCTGTAATCTTTTAAACATTTCTTCCCAAAACGCAGCTTCAATGCGCCTGATAGAGAAATGTAGCCTTTTGTTTTCAGGAAATATCTGCTACATCTGCTGTCAGAGAAGCAGCAAGATGACAGGCCTTAGCTTGGAAATCCCATCCATTCGCTTTTCCTGTTATTGAAATTGTCTTTATGTACTTGCCCATCATATGTAGATAACTTCAGAAAAGAAAGAGCAGGCATTGGTAAAAATTTAAAGCCATCAGAATTGCTTCCTGCTGTCACTATGCATTTCTTTAATGTGTCGACTTCTTTGGCGATAACAGCAGAAACCCTGTTTTAAATTTGTTGTTTGATTTGTTCTTGGACAGCAGAAATTCTTTTTTCAATGTGTCCAACTTTATTTTTTATTTTCTTCCATCTTTCCTTGAACGGCTTTCATCTCCGCTTTAGTGGATTTTTTTGATGGATAAATTAATTTCTTGATTTAAACAGACCCAACTTATAACAAAAATTGTGCTTTTTGTGTAATAAATTTTCATTTCTGAAGTAAGAAAACAGGCAGATCATAAACCAATGGGATGCCACTCAGAAAGTATGATGGTTAGAGAAGCTTACTGCAGTACCAAAGGGTCTGGGTTCGAATCCGGGAGAAGGCGTGGTTATAACTGTTCGTCTCTTTATAAGGAGGCAACAGTGGATGCCTATTAAGTGCCTCCATAATAAAATGGGCATCACTTCAGGATTTAGGACAGTTGCCAGTGCTGAATAGGCAAGTGCACGCCATTAGATAAAAAAAAATAATAAATAAACCAGTCGGAGAGAAATATTCCTTACCTTGCAAATGAAGGTTTGATTAGACTGCTTTATTTAGGATTTTCACTTTTCTTTAATTGCTTAATTCAAATGTCAGTTGTCAAATTTTAAAACGTATTGGTTTAAGCATCGTCACAGGCAAAAAAAAAAAAAAAAAAAAAAAAAAAAAATTTGACAGTAGTAAATTTTAAAATGATGCAATCTAGGAAGATTTATTATAAGCCGTTGCTAGATGGAAAATAAGAAATAATCAAATTTTAAAGGAGCTGTTATAAACCGTAGCTTTCACTTGCACTCTAACATTATATTTTTTGTTCATGCATGGGGGAAAATTATTTCCGTAAAATCTTAGAAAAGATTACATGAGTACAAAAGAACAAAAAATGTTAATACTAAACTCCATTCAGCCTAATAATGAAGTATGTGATGTTATCGTGCACACACGTATTGGTAGGCTCTGAGGAGTGTGAGTTAGATGTATCGAATCTGAACTGTGAACTTTCAAATTGTGAATGAGCTTTCATTTTAAGATTATTGTGTTGTGAATTCTCATTTCTAGATTCAATGCTGTAGTTATTGATGGTCATAATATTGAAGAAATTATGAAGTCATTTGATGCTGCAACACATAATAAAGGAAAACCAACAGCAATATTGGCTAAAACATACAAAGGGAAAGGAGTTTCTGGTATGTGATGTTTGTTATTCATGATATATCTGTATAGTTTTCCCTCTGCCATCCTATATGATGAGTAGTGGTGATTAAACAAGTTTTATATTCTTGTATTATTTTTGTGAATTGAAGATTATGAATTAATTTTTTATCCCTATGAAACTGTATAAATTTTTACAGCATAAGTTTTATCTTGTTTTATATTTCACATGAAAATACCCCTTGGCTATGAATAGTAAGTTTGCGTGAAGTTTTTCAACAGCAGTATAAAAATAAGCATTTTGTTAATATGGTAATCTTTTTTTTTTTTTTTTTTTCATTTTATATGAAAGTTATATGAATAACTTAGATTTTATAGAATGATCAGTATTTTAAAATTTCATCATTTTATGAAAATTTTGAATCAATTACATACTATTATTTAAAAAATAATAATTCTTGTTTTTTTCCCTGGCATTAGTCCAGTTCAGAATAATGTATAATGTTGGAATTATTATTGCAAAAGCTAAATCAAATATATCTTGGTACTTGCATATTATCCCAAAGACAATGAAAATTGCCAAGCAGCGCAAAAGAGTATATTTTCATTGCATTAAAAAAATTCACTTTTTTAGAACAGGAAACACCTGGATTTATTTTTAAAGTTATGAGATCCAATCATAAAAAAAAAGTTCATTAATGTATATGATATGGTCAGCTGAATATGGCCAATGAAAAAATAATAATTGAAAAAATTAGCTGTGGGAAGCTTGTAGATGTAGCATTCTAAACAGAGCTTTCTATAAAATTGTTGAGCTTGGAAAATAGTAGAAATTGATGAAAGCCTTACAAAGCTCAAAAAATAAGCTCGTCATATACTGAGTTTTTATTAAATAAAGAGGCTTCACTTTCTTCATAATTCCACAGGAACAAGTAGCACAGCATTAATATAATCTTGTCCAACTTTCAAGATTCAGTGGTAGCCAATTTTCACAGTCTACAGGATTATATGCAAGTCCTTATAACTATTATCATTTAGTTAAAATAAGATGACCAGATTTTTAACATCGGTAAAGCAGGACACCATTGGCTGGGAGCAAGAGTTCTTGATTTAAAATTTGGTCTATATGGAGCAATACAAATTTTCATAGAATGCAAAAATAGCATTGTAATATATTTATGTAATTTCAACATAAGTACAACTTACAAATATTAACACATTAAAAAATTATTAATAGTATAATTTTATTCTTCGGCATATTTCTCATTTAAGTGAATTTTTTTAGTAGATTGCTGCTGTTGTTTAAAAAGTCAGGAAATTTTTCACAAGAATTTTTAAAATTATATTTTACACATAAAATGGCTTTCAAAGTCTCAACATTTAATAGCCTTAATTTTCTAATCTCCACACTTTATTTACCATAGAAAAAATGCGTTCAGTTGCAGCATTAGTTCCTGGTAAAGACAGCTTGTAATCCACAATTTTCAGTGCAGTATTGTATGAAGCATAGTTTGTTTAAAAATGATGAAATATTTCTAACCATTTGTTCTCTATTGTAATTTTTTCTGGTGCCCAAGATTTAACCCTTTCCTTATCAATATATTTTTTAATAATGATACCTCATGAAAAAGATAATTTTTGGAAATATTTACTATATGGAAAATTTTGAGCAATATGATCGAATGCTTTTTACACATCATTCCAATTAAGTTCTTGTTTTTATGTAACCCAGGGAAAATGTTCAATATCATAATGTATCCTCCACTATTCTAAATAATATATGCAGTAACTATGGAGCTTTTTAATGTGATATCTGCACGATTTATTGCACCTTGTTCTTTTAGCTGGCTTATACTATTATGGATAGTTAACTGAAGAAAATTATTTTCTAACTGCTCTCGATGCTGAAATTTTAAATTAACTTCATTTGCTACTTCAATTACTGAAATTTTGTCACCTTCAATAAGTTTTGTAGCAGTTTTGTAGCTCTTTTTCAAAAAAAGAGCTGCTTGTTGTGTACAAACTCTAGCCAAATTTTTGAAGATTTTTTTTCAAAAAACTTTTCTAAAATTCTAGGACATTTATCCTGTGAATAGAAAGTAGGGTTTCAAAGGATCATATATTTTCTAAATTCTTTCAACAATTGGCAAAAGGGCTAACCAGCATGTTTTACTGTATCTAAGTATTTTCTGCTATTCAACTTCCACAGTTTCGCAAAATTCTATAAGCATTTGAACGTGCACAGTGTATGTATAGAAATCAGAATATGCTTTAATAGCAATATTTTTCACATCTATGTGCAACAAGTCAGTAGCTGTTTGAATGGCTTTATGATTTACGTATGTTGCGCAACCAACACTAATAATTTTTTTATTAAGGTTTTTAATTTGTAAAAATTATTATTTATACTTCTGGCTTTCCCTCCAAAATTTGCATTTGTGTTTGTCTGCACAATAAGCAATTATTTTGTTTTAAATGTATTTTTTCCTAAATATTAATAGTGGAGCTGAAAATTATTTCTGAAGTTTTGCCGAGCAAAGAAACGTAAATCTAAAATTCTAATTTTTATTCCAGTTTCCGAATCAAAAAATCTAATAATGATTGAAAATAATTTTTATGCTTTATGATTAGATGTGTCAAAATATATGGCTATAAAATTAATTTTTTCTAGATTTTGTTTAATTCTGAAAATTATGTGGGGAAAGCACATTATGCACAATTGCCTCAGATTTTGTTCTAGCATGAGCAAATTTTTTATCGAGTAACCTTTGGACAACTTGTGATGTACAACCTATAGATCTGAAGGAATAATTGGGATTAATAACATGAAAAGGCATAAATCCTTCTGCTAATGCTGATTTCTTTTCTTCATACTCTTAAGTTGTTTTCCGAAAAAATTCCTAAATTTTGGAGAAAGGGGGAGCAGTATTTAAATATCTTTTATGTTTCTGTGTCTCCATGTGCTTTGAAATATCGTTCCCGTCGTGCAAAGTAGAAAATTTACCATTGAATTTTCTCGCATTTTACCATGTAATCGCTTTTGGTGTTTTTAATAAAAGAAAATTCTCTTTGTAGATCATCATTGAATTTGCATCCTCTTTTCTTCCTCATTACGTTAAAAATCTTAAAAACAATGTTTTAAATTATGTATAAATTATTATATACATACTGCTTAAAAACACAGTAAGTAGGTACACAATTACATGAATATATTTTATTGTTAGTTTATAAATTACTTTAATTTGAATCCTATATTTCTTTCTAAATAGTAACAAATACTATCTTGTATTGCAGTAATATCAGTTGTGCCACCTTGAAGGCTGGCGCTAGAGGTTTTGCTGCCACTGTAAAATATAATCACTTGTTTAACTAGCACTGGCATGCAGTACGATGTGTATCATCTGAGAGACAGTTACATAATGTTTTCATCATTGCTAGTGCCAAAAAATGCCATTGTTCATAAAGTCCAAACAATGGTGGTCGAATTCTAACAACTGATCAACAATGCAAACTGATAAGCAGTTCTCGATAATCACTTCTAAAAAATTATTTGTTATTATTAAAGTTTAACATTATAAAATTAAGAAAAATAATATAAAACTCATATCCTGCCAAAATAGCCACATGGCCACCAAAACCCATACATTTCCTTCCTGATCTCCCGACATTCCATAGCTTGTGCATTTTTTCCAAAAATTGGGACTTTTTAAAAATGCCATAGGATGTGGGATAAATTGTTGGACATCTGTACTTTATTTTTTGCAATTTGAACACAGATTATTTTTCATGTCTAATAAGGTAAAATTTAAATGTCATTCATGTTAAATTTGTCATGAAAACTTCTTTGAATTTATTTATGCATAGGAGCCATGATTAATTTTGGAACTTGAAGCTTTTAAAAGATCTCATTTTTATCAAAAGCAGATTTTCACCAGCTGGATTATATTAAGGTAAACTGATTAACTGCCTGCAATTAATCCAGTAAATTATTGGAAGAAAATATTTATTTCTATTTTTTAAGGATTTACTGAAAAAGATCCCGCTCTCGGGGGGGGGGGGGGAAGTTTGAAACTAGGTCATTGATGTGAATAAGAAACAAGATTGAAGAGCATTTAGGTTTTCTAAATATTTAATGAATTTTTATAATGTTCAAGTGAGAATGTGTTATACAGGGTGAATCTGCTGAACAAGCGGGCAAAATTTGAGGGGGTGATAGAAGGCAATTTTAGGAGCAATATTTGTCATAGAATGCATGGCTGGAATGCAAACGGGCCACTAGGTGGCATTGTAAGTAACTGGTGTAAAATGGATCAATCCTTGCATCCAACGGCATTTTCTACCATGGATTGCTAGTTATACAAACCATGAAATTTTCAGGGTGATGGATTGGTTGAGGTGGTCCCATAACTTGGCCACCACCGTCACTGGATCTCTCTTGTTTGGATTTTTTCCTGTGGGGCCATATAAAAAGCCTAATCTAACAGTGGCCCATTGAAACCAGTATGGATCTAATCGCTGTTGTTGCCAGCAATATTCGGGAGATGCCTGGTGTCTGGTCGCAGGCTATGTGTCATTTCCTATCTTGCAGTTGTGAAGCCTGCATTGCATCTGTTGAGCAATTTCTATGAATATGTTCTGTTAATAAAATGTTTTCTGAAGTATCCCTTCTCATTCTTGAGTTAATTCTTTAAATGTGATATCGGAAAACTATCTTTTAACTTTTCACCACTTGCATTCTGACCATACATTCTATGGAAAATTGCTCATTTAGCTGCCTTCTATCTCCACTTGTTCAGATCCATCCTGTATTTACTTGAAGAAATATATCTATTTCTTCAGCAAATTGTTAGTGACATTATATCACAGATGAACATTTCATTGCACTTAAGTTTAAAACATACTTTGAAAATTTCTTAATTATATCATAGTAAGAAAAATTTTTAACTGTTGTAAGTTGCAAGAAAGCTTACAACTATTTTTGTTATTTTAATTTTATAGCAAAGGAAGGAGATTCAAAATTAAATTTAAGAATTTT